CTCGTTGTGTGGTAGCTCACTTCTTTTATGAAACATTTAAGGAAGCTTACAAGAAAAAAAAAAAGCAATGTGTGACAATAAAGCAAGAATTTAAAAAAAAAATTAAAAACACAGATTTTAACAGAGCTTTAAACCAGCCTCCCCCCTCCCCAGGATTAAGTCTCTCAAAAATTCCATATAGTCTAATTGCTGGCCCTTGTAGTGAAAGTACCAGGTTGAGGAAAACTTGTCTAAGCAGCAATAGTTTCAAAACAGTGTAAAAACAACACTAATCATTGAGTACAAATCAATGTACAATGGGAGAAGGCACCACATTGTATACAGTTCATGCCCAGTATTCCTGGCAGAGCCACCTAGGTGGCTGTCCCCTCAGGACCCCATTCAGTCCCAGTCTATGTCTCCAGCCCTATCACCTGCATTGTTCTTCAGCCCTCCAGTATGTCCTCCCCAATTTCCTACAGACCCCTTTTTATTTGGAGGGGTAAAATACGCATGTACAGAAGGAACATCTGGGGCAATTGGGCAGTGGACACAAAACTGGAAAACATTCAGAGTGTGGGTTTCAGCCCAGAATGCAGGAAAGTGTCCAATTCTAAACTAAAGCAAGGCTGGGAAGGGGTTATAGGGCTAGCCAAGGAAAGTAAGGACACCGAAACCTTGGGATGAGGAGCGGAAGTGGACTTGGGACAAAACCAGACACCCTTCTTTTCCTGGAGAGGCTCACCCAGCCAGGTGTTCATCTTTTCGGAACTGCAGTGCTCCAGCTTGGGTAGGATCAGCACATCAATGTCACTTTTAGGCTCCTCTTTGGTAAATTCCTTCGGGGGAGACAGAACGAAGACATTGGAAGCAGAAGAGGCTAGGAAGCTGCGTTGCCAAAAAGGATTTCATAGCCAAAGCAGATAATCAACTGAATAAGGGTTAACAGCAGGATACGTTGTTAACTATTTCTTAAGGCTGTGCTATAAGGGCCAAGGTGATTGCAGATACATGCCAGTCTCAAACACATATAAAAGAAGAATGTAAAGAAGCATGTATAAAGAAATACCCTACCAAGGAGAAAACCACACCCCCACCAACAATGGCAGGGCAAGCTACTGTCTATAGACAGGGAGAAAATCCCACCCTCACTAGCACTGATGAAGTTACCTAGCTGGGTAATGAAACGTCTGCCATTAAACCACCAAGCTCAGAGAGCACCAAGGACTCCACAGTTCAACCCTGAGCTGCAGATCTTCTCTTCCATAAAGAAGGATGTGGGAGAGGGTGAAGCTGTAATCTAAAGTGCATGGATAGGTTTTTGTCTCATGGCCATCTTCCTTGCCCTGCTTCACCCTCCCCTTTCAGGTTTCTTCTTTCAGCTAATAACAAGAGCCCAGCTGAAAAATAATCTTAAGTAAAACTTGGCAAGAAAGTTAGTAGCATTCTCTCTCACACACACGCATGCCTTTTCTTGCTTTATACTTAACTGTGGTAGCTTCAAGCTCAAAATTACAGGCCACTAGCTGCCATGGGTAGTTTGGAAAAAGGAATCTTCTAACAAACTGGTTTTATAGACGCTTAATGGCTATGGCTTGCTCTACAGCTTCCTGGCACCCTGCAGGTGTGATGCAGAAACACCTGCAGAATCTGACAGTTTCATCAAAATGAGGAAATGGGTGTTGCAACATCACAATGCAGGCTCCATTCCTTACATTTGTGCATGCAACATCATGATGAATGTACAAAAGGGCAGAGCTTGCACCCATACTTCACAATGATCATCTTGTCATTTGTTCCTCTTCCCCCACTCCGTATGATATACTATTAGGCCAGAGGGAAGGAACACTGACCTTTTAGCCCCTTACCAGAGCCATAAGTCCCAAGACATTTTGGAAAAAAAGGAAAGGACCTGGGACAGGTCTTTAGATATATCCCAATTCACACAACAGCAGTAAGCTTTACTAAGCCCATACACCTCATCTGGAGATCATGATTCAATCGAGACATGAACAAAGCTGCCAAGAATGGAGAGGAAAGCAACAAGGGTGAAATACAATCAGGTCATCAGATTGTTATATGGAAGAGGAGAAGAAGCTGCAGGGACATATGGAAAGGATGGAATCTACAACTGCAAACATCAAGGCCAGTAATATGTTTCTTTAAACCTTAAGTAGTAGGAGCTTGTAAAACTCAGACTCACAGGTTGATTGTTGGTAAGGTTAGTTCACAGAGTTTCTACTTTGCTTACAACTGTCTCTGGTGGCTGGGCAAGTAGGTATTTCTGTACAAACTCCAAAAACTCAGTTAATTGGTTAAACCATGATTGAGGCAAGTGCGTCATGTGAATGCAGCACATGAAGGGGGAAGACTCAAAAAACAAGAGGCAGTAAGTGTATGGGAGATTATGGGGCAATGTTTTAAGGGAAGAAGCGGAGGATCTGGGTCATAGAGGAAAGAGAGTGAGATAGTCAGCCAAGAGATGCAGAATTTTCTACAATACATTGGGATGAACACTTGCTTTTGTTATGGTCCACCGAGCCAACCCTGATTCCCGGTGACTACATGGACAAGTCCATGCAGTTTTCTTGCCAACATTTTCAGAAGAGATTTGCCATTGCCTTCTTCCTAGGACAGAGAAAGAGTGACTGGCCCAAAGTCACCCACTTGACTTACACCTAAGGCAGGACTGAAGAATGCTTAGTCTCCTCCTGGCTTCTAATTTAGTGCGTTTAACCTTGATTGCAACTGTTGGTTTTTCTGTAAAAAACAGGTGGTCAGTGAAATGAGAACCACCTGCAGCAACATGGGACTAGTGGTCCTCTTTGTGGTTCCTGAACTACACCTCCCAGGAGCTCCAGCCTGCAGTCAGTGATGAGGGATATTGCAAAATAGCAACAGCTGGAAGGCCATGAGTTTCACTTAGATCTAACAGGAGGGTGGAATCCTCTTTTGAAGATGTTTCTAACATAAGAATAGGTAAGCATGCTTGATACATTTGACAAAGCAATATTTCATTCCTGAAAAGATAGACCTTCTTGTTCAGACTAACATAACTTTTGTGGATGCCTGTTTAACTCCCTAAAACATTTTGGGCTGACAACAGAAAGGCAGTCTGGTATGCTCCATAGCTTTTTTTCACTGTTATTTCCTACATTTAGTACAGAAGGTACCGACAACCATTTCAACAAATTGGCCCTGTCACCTGGAATCCCTGGACCTACAGCTTGTTTTAAAGCGATGCCACCCTACCTCTGTTGTGCGTTTCAATGGGTTAACTATTTGCCAAATAGCCAGGATGACAAAATCAAGCCCAACCAGTAATCCAACAGTGGCATAGAGTTTCCAGGGTTCCAGAGTCTGTGAAAAAAAGGAGGAAAGAGAGAACTGGGGGCTGAGCCCACAAGAAATTTCATAGATACTAGAGACCACAAATTCAAGCTGTCCTGAGGGTTCAGACCATGAATCCATCTAGTCCATTGTAATAATAATTATTATTTACCCAATGTCTTTATCTCGCATAATTGGGCACTACGGAAACAACATGCACCCATTTCACATGCTTGCTTCTGGATTACAGGAACAGCAGTTTTCCCCAAGCTGGTGCCTTTTAGATGGCTGGCCTTCAGTCTCTCATAAGCATGGGAACTGAAGTTAATGTTATCTGGAGGGCATCAGACTGAGAAAGGTTGAGGAAGTGTGGGAAATCCAAGGGCTTGTGTCAAAAATTTAGTGGAAAAGTGGTCTTAAAAGTAAGAAATAAGACAACACAAAGATGTTCTGGGAGACAAATGTATTTTCCCCAAAATTCCTGTTTTGCATGCAGCAAGACCCTGGTTCAGTCCTGCTGCCTCCAGAGAGGACTGGAGAAACTCCTCCCAGTCACAACAATGCCAGATTAGATAGTTCAGTGGTCTGATTCAATATAAGGCAGCCTCCTATGAATTTAAGTTCTGTACCTGCAATGATAGAGTTCCTTGGGAAACATATCAACATAAATATAAAAATACAACACTATAAAGCAATAATCAAAATTATTTTTAAAAAAGCGATGTTCAGCAGCGTTTAAACAAGAGGCAAGGGACACACACAGAGAGAAAGTCTAGTGTGCATTGCCGAGGAACTGTGATGACTTTATTATGCCTTTTTGGAAGTATGATTATAAGATCAGAATTACAAGTCCCTCCACCCTGAAAATGGTGTGCTCCCCTCCAAATCTGCAGCCAATCAGATCTAAGGGTATATAATGGCACCTGGGTTTTACTAAGATTTATGAACTTATTCTGTGTAAAACCTTTCACCTAAGGACGCACCCACCAGATATGAAAGATAAAGGATCTGGTAGGGTAGGAAATTCTAATCTGCATCAACAGTTGTTTAAGTGGAACAAGGAAGTGGTGTGACTTCAGATTAAATTCCTTTGGAATAGAAAAAGACCATCTGCTGTTGACAAATGTTGCCAACTCTTGTCTTGGTGTGGCACAAGCCAATTCTTTAAAAAGCAGAGCAAAGTTGTGATAAACATCTGCTGGTAGCGCTTAGACCACTGTGAGTTGTCCCTTTCCTAAGGGGAAGGGTGCTTGCCTTGGTTCCTGTGGAAGGAAATAAATTTATGCCCCATTCAGACAGAGTCTCCCTTTCACTGCAGGCACTGCAGAACCTTTCCCGCAAGGGGGCCAGAAAACATGGACCCTGTGCGTCTCCCCCTCTTCCTAGAGAAGGCCAGCTGCACGTCTCAAAATCCAATGGCCCAGTTCAGTGGCATATATTAATAATTGGTGGTATTCAAAAGAAATACATGCTACAGTACATCCAAATTCTTTCCCTGTACTACTCACTTCAGTGGAGTGATAACAAGACAAAATACTCACCTTCCGTCGTTCTTTCTTCTCTTCCTTCTTAGTGAAGACAGTATGTACCCACCAGATCTTGGTGAACATGCTGCCATAGCCCAAGCTAAAACCCAAACCCAGGAGCCAAAGCCGAGCCTGGAGGTGGGGTGGGGTAGGGGGAAGAATGGTAAGAAAGAGGTATCCTTTACTGCCATATTTTTCTGATTCCAAAATCCATATTACCCTCCTTAGAATATCTCATCACAAAAGAATGTCAGAACTTCCTCAGAGCTCTTAATCAGCCAAGATGTTAAAAGGCTCATTCCAAGCGGTAGAGTTTACATTATGTTGTGGTTGGAAGAGGATCCTGCAGGTAGGCTGCAGACAATCAAATATAGCTCTGTAAAGTGCTGAGAGAATCTGGGACTTTCCCAAGAGATATCTACGGCCTACCACAGAGAGTTGATGCATTTTCTAACACTATTCTCTCGCATTTGAAAAGTGTGATTAAACGATTTAAAATATGTGTTTTTTAAAAATAGCCCTGCTATTTGCATCCCAGTTCAGCTGTGTTCCTTCATTGCTATATTGCAGGTTAGAAATGCTATGACTGAAAATGTGCTGTGTCGCCTATTAATGGTTTTTGCCAAATTGTGGGACACACTGCGGCATTCACACACAACAGTCTGGCATTATTATTCTTGGATTCGCATTGCACCAAGATTATGAGACTAGCATTCAATAGTCTTTCAAAGAACATTAGTGTACTTTTAATTAAACTTGGGAAGTTCCACAAACTGTAATGCTACAATTCCCACTGAAGGTTGTGCAAAAGTTTCCACATGCTTTTTGTATCATGACTCCCACAGGGGCTCTAATGAAGGCTTTAATACTATCATCTACCCGGCACACATCAACAGCACACAGATATTTTAAGAATCAGTACCCAATCAGATATCATTCTGCCTCAGTATCAGTACTGATACTGCCTTAGTATCAGTAATATCACCTTATGGTGGGTTGGAGAACTGTATTTAAAATAAAATGTTTACAACAGCAATACAGGATTGTCCACTGTTAAGACAATGTGTGGGATGAGATACAATTACAGGTACTCCTCAACTTACAACCATTCATTTAACAACTGTTTGAAATTATGATGGTGCTGAAAAAAGTGACTTACGACCGGTCCTTGCACTTATGACTGTTGCAGCATCCCTGCAGTCACGTGATCAAAATTCGGGTGCTTGGCAACTGGCATGTATTTACAACAGCTGCAGCATCCCAGGGTCATGTGTTCACCATTTGCGACCTTCCCAGGGGTCTTCCGACAAGCAAAGTCAATGGGGGAAGCCATATTTGTTTAATGACCGTGTGATTCGCTTAACAATCGTGGCAAAAAAGGTTATAAAATCAGGTGCGACTCACTTAATGACTGCTTCGCTTAACAACTGAAGTCCCGGTCCCAATTGTGGTCATAAGTTGAGGACTACCTGTAACATAAATTCCCACTCCAATATTTCCCTTACAAAGCACCATTCAGGTTGAGCAAAGGTTAGCCTCCTAATACCATCTCCTCAAAATCTAGCACTGACAGAGGAATTTGAAGATTTGACTGCATGCAAACATGTTTAAATGCTTAGAAACATCTTAAAAATACATTCTTTCACACAAAGTATGACCCTAATTAGGGTATTCTTTCAACTTTTTTGGGCAGTGATATGGGAGTAGATATGCTGGTGCCTGAACACAAAAATGTTGCAGTTCTGAACTTTTTCCATTAATTTCCACAGTAGTTCTCAATTCTGAAATGGAATTAGAAATGGAGGAGACCTTAAAAGACATTTGGCTCAGCTGTACCTTATGGCAGGAAATCCAGAACTTTATCTTCCCTAACATGTGACAGAAAGAAGGAAGAAAAAAGTCAGAAATTGGCCTTGGGTACATGCCTAACCCAGGGCTGGTAACTGTGGTTCTCCAGAAACTGCAGAATTATAACTCCCAGCATCTTTTACCATTAGGCATGTTGGTTAGGTGTGCTGGGGAATGTGGTTCAGTGGCATGTGGGGGCCTCAGGTTTCCTACTCCTTGTTTAGCTAATTAAACTACCAGGATGTTCCCCAAAGCTTTACAGCAGCCACGATGTACCTGGCAAACGAAAGGGAAGAGGTCTCTGCTGATGTGAAGGCCATCCAACCCGAGTGGGAAGACAGCTGCTTGGGCCAATGCACAGCCCACAGCTGTCATATTGTTGAGATAGGGCTGAGAGTTCTGGATGTATCTGTAAAAAAAGGATATTGTCAAGGTCCAAATGGAATCTGAAGTACAGCCACCAGCTCTCTGCTTCCAAACTACTAGAAAACCAAAAAAGGTATTGCAGATATATGGACCAGGCAAAATCCATTTTGAATAACCAATTTTAAAAGCAGTCAGGTTCAATTCCTGATTCAATTTGATTTGAAAAATTGATCTAATTTAGGAATTTGAATCATTGAACTGGGTCCTGAAAGAGCCTCACCATTATTAAGTAAGATAAGCAAATGCTCAATGCCTTTTGACCGTTTTCAGGTGAATTTGCCCCTCAATACTATCTCAGGCAGGAATCTAAGAAGTTACCTTAGATGTTCAGATTTTAGTCTCACTCGGTAATCCCTATACCAGCTGTCTCTAACATGGTATCTTCTGGTTGTTCAGGTGCTGCAACTTGTGCTATGCAGGCAGGGAATTCTGGAAGTTGAAATCCCAACATATACTGATGAGCACTAAAATAGGACAGTATCTAGACTGCTACAGGTTCCTCACACTTGATCTGTGCTGACTGGCAATGGTTCTCCAGCATTTCAGAATCCAACATTTCCAGACATAACTGGATATGTTGGGAATGAAACTTAGGGACTTTGAATGCAAAGCATGTGTTCTACCGTTGAACTACAAATTTTCACTTAGCAAAAGAGGCCGGATGTATTAAGCATCACACACCTGACATGCCCATTGTAGATGTTGAAGGCCAAGCAAATGATGGCCAGCAGGATACCCAGACTTGAGAGCACTGAAACAGAAATGAAGAGCTTCTGGGAGAGGTACCGGAAGGTGATGATGACCTTTGTATAGTCAGCTGGTGGGACACCACCTGCAGTGGTGGATACGGGAAGAAGAAAGGAATTCAGGAGTCTATTCATATCATGCTCTTTTCCATCAGGAAGACCCACAAAGACTAGACGTGTGCAGGGAAGTTTCTATATGGTGACTAACCTTAATAGCTTAAAAGATGCATTGCCTGAGGCTAAGTAGTTCATCCTGACTCAACCCACATTTCCCAAGGTGCATATCTTGGCAGACACTGAATACTGAATTATGAAATCCATACAACAATACCTAAAAATGGTATTTGTTAACTTCATTGCATTAACCCTAATGCATACAAGGAAGTGGAAAGCTCTAAAATTTCAAATTCATCTGACCCCTTTCCTACCCTTTATAATGTATTCCTCTATCCATCACTGTGAAGAATATACTCTTTGCCTTAATAAGTTATTCTTGAGGTAAATCATTATCTAAGTCAATACAGATGCTCCCAAATTGTCTAGATCTGAGATAAAAGCATTTTTAGGCCTCAAGGAAATCTCTAGACTGCTAGGTTTCACCTTTTCAAATCTAAAGCCCATCTTTAGCCCAAATATGCATTGGGAGTTCACTGATAACTGTCAGCTTGTTTATTTCCTTATCATACAGTTTCATTATTAGTGATTCTGACTCACCAGTTAAAGTCCCTAGAATTTCAGCTCTTCAGATAAATTGGAAGGAATTGGATTGTATCTTAAGTAACCGAAAATGCCTTATACTGGCTTACTTGAACTGTTCTGTTGAAACGATCAGGTTGGCTATGTTGTAGCAGAACAAAACTTGGAACAATTTCAGAATTTTGTCTCAACTCCTGCCCTCAGAATAAAACTCTTGGAACATACAACTTTGTATTGACCTCGGAACACTTGAAATAGTCAGCTTCAGGGTTGGAACAGTATTTTAGTATTTACTTCTATAACCAAAACACTCAAAACACCATTGCTCAGAATGGTTAAGTTTTGTTCCAAGTTTGGAACAAAACAATAGTGTTTTATTTTAAGCTCAGAACACATGAAACATTTTGAGCTCAAAACATTTTGCACACTCCTACTCAAAATGAACATCTTTCAGTCTCTTACCAATCCATTTCTCATTGTTATACCAGGAGAGGTTATCCTTGGTGCTGTCATAATAGCCAATCTTCTTATAGACACCATCTGTTGGCAAAGAGAAGAATTCTAGACAACAGAAGTATCAAGTAATGGACTTATGGAAAGATAGATATTGGACCAGTTTTTAAGCTGTCTAAATGCCAGAGCTGAATCTTTAAAAAAATAGCAATAGCATAGCAACACCTGATTGCCTTTTTATAAAAGGAAACATGAAAAAATAAATGCTATATAATTATGTGGAATTGAACATTTCTACATAATTATACAGTATTTATTGTGCAGTGCTGATCATTGTAATGTTGAATATCTTGCCCTCAGTGGGGTATTGTACAGCTTTGAGTAACATGGGCAGAAAAATGGCATTCCTCCCGAGCCCAGTGGTATGATTCACAATCTATGGCACTCTTAACTGCAAGCACTTGTTTTAGAGCATCTTCCCAGCAGTATATTTCTATGAGCTACAATCTCAAACACTGTAATGGTGAGAGCATAATTGTAATCTTTTGTTCCCCTCAAATATCCAGGAGACCATTAATTTCCTGGAAGGTGCTGGCACTTCTGACTTTGCTGTTTCTTTGCAAACTCTTTTAAATGGGATGTCCAGCTGTGCTGCAGCAGAAGTCCATTTCAGGGGTGCATGTGTATTGTGTTTATTTATTCAAATGGTGGGATTTCCAGAGAGTTGTGCAACAGTGCAGGAACAAAGAACACAGAGGAAAAAAACCACTTCCCCATCACTCAAAATAAAGATAAAGGTAAACCCCCCAGTGATATAAGTTACACTCTGGAGTTATCAGCACACACCTAAATCAATAGCAAGAGAAGGTGGGGGAGGGAAGGAGCAGCAAAACTAATTCTACAAATTAAAACCACTCCTAGCAAGACAAACTGTAACACTGCATGGTTGCCACGCAATAAAAAAAAATCCAAAATGGAAATTACAGCATATCTATGTTTATTAAGGGAGAAAAGGGGATAAAAGGACAGAAATGATGTGAGTGCAACGATTTGGCAGCTGTCTCATGTGGCATGTGAGTGAGCCTGATGTTGCAATAAATGGGAAAACCCTTAGGAGTATCCCAAGGACTCTTGCTCACCCTGAAGCTGCTCAATGAGGGTCCAAGCCATCCGAGAGCCACTGGCATCAAAGACCACATGTCCCTGGGGAGTGAAGGAAATTGTATTAAGAGAGCGTCCCCGTGGTGGCAACCTGGTTTGGATCTCTTGCCAATGCTACCTGTGGAAGAGCACCAGATCCCAACAATAAGAGAAAGAATGGTTGTTTCTCTCTTGTGAGAAGTTTCAGAGGTGAAATGTGGCAGTATTGTAGAAGGACGTAAAATTAATACGCGGAATCAACTTGGCTCTATGTTCGACAGTTCCGTTCAAGCAATATTTCTATCTTGTGTCTGAGTTCCAGGGCGGAAAAAGTTTCTGAGAATCTCAGTTTTCAAAAATACGAAACAAGTAGTTCAAGAACCAAGTCATCATTGTTATGAAGAAATATCTGAAAATGTACACGCAATCTCAGTGAAAGGTCATAGACAGAACAAGTAGTTTTTGTTCCTTAACTGGGACATCAATCCTTGATCTAATATCTTTCATGATATTTTCCTTGTTATATGCCATGTACTAATACCTCTTTATATATTGTTTTTTCCCTACCATCAGTGTTTCTTGGCACCCTATTATTACTACCCCCAAAACAAAAGGCTCTAAAAACTCAAATGAGAATGCAGGATTTTTTTATCTTATTCAAAATAATTTTACTTGGTGGCCCAGAATTCTAGCAGACTTGCCTATAGCTAGATCTTAAATGTTCTGCATGCCAGATTTCCTGCTTCAAAGGACCACCCACCGAGACTCCCTCAAAGGCTGAAGAGTTGAGTGCCCGGTAGATCTCATCTGTAATGGTCCGGTTGTTGTAATTGAAGTCTTCAAGACGTAGCCCCTTCTTTACCAGCTCAGCTGAGGTCTTGTTCAATGCAAGAGCCAGTGCCCAGATGGCATCATAAGCCAACGGAGCTTCTTGGAAACCCCCAGTCTCTTCTGGAGATTTCTCTACGCGCTTTGTCAGTTTCTCAATGAATTCCTGTGATGTCTGGAGAGGACCAAGAAAAATAAAATTATCTCTTCATGCACAATTCATTGATAATTATTGGGATTGTTTTAATAAAGAAAAAGGAATAGCAAAAACTGAGATACGACGTTTATAAATAAACAAGATTCTGCATTTTCTAATTAAGAATATTTTGCATTTGCAATGCAGTAAATAGCATTCTTAGATAATATAACTCTCCTGTGGTTTTGGTACTTTTAAAAACTGTTCTGCCCAAGTGCATTATTCCATTTAGATCTCTAGTGGGTTACCTTTTTAAAAAAAATGCTTACATGATTTAATTCTAGAATATAATTTTTATTATGTTGCTTCGTATTCTTTAATATTTATTTTATTTAATTTTTATTGCACACTGCTTTGAGATTACTTTCTTAATATTGTTAAATGATTTACAAGCTGCTTAAAAACAGAAATCTTACTGTAAAAGTTTGAGAATAATATTGACTCAAAGATTTAATTGTAGTTTGTTTCATAATTGAATGCAAAAGATTGTAAGGTTTCCTAGATAGGGGAATTAGTCTTATTAGAGAAATCAATAGCTTTTCAGATGTCTAAAAGAAAGCTCTGGACTCTAATTTTAACTGAATTAGAAATATTAGTTTATATAGTGAATCAGCTCTTTTTAAATGGAAAGGAATGTTTCATGAAACAATTTTGTTTTCTTTTTAATAAAATCAGGGAGCACCTTTTTAAAAAAATGTTTTTGCTTAGCTGGAATACTATAAAAAAATCTCCTCTGCCAATGTATATAATTTTGATTAATGATCTGTAATAAAAGAAAATATGTAATTATTTTATGTGTAATTACTTCAATAAGTGCCATTGGCTAGAGAACATTTCTTATACTGCCAATCCATCTGTAGAGTAAATACTTCTAAACCGAGAAATGTGCAAGTCCATTTCAAAAATCAGGAGGAGTCTGGTAGGCGTAAGCGTTTTGAATCACAGCTCACTTCCTCAAATGCACAGGGTGGCAAAACCGATGCAAGATTTAAATTGGGATGTGGTGGAGGGAGAAGAAAGAGAGGGGAAGACAAGGTGGATATGCCTTTTAATAAAATGCATTAGTCTGGAAAGGTGCTATCAGACTCCTCCTGATTTTGGCTATCCCAGATTAACAGGGCTCTCGTTTTGGGAAGCTACGACCGTGTTCCCTGCCTGTTGTGGCTCTTCCTCACCATATTAGAGATGCTGCGCGTGTTTTCTGGGTTCAGCATGACAATCTCTGTGGTGATGTGTCCCTCCACCGCCTCCCTCATCTCTTCCTCGGTGCAGTTAATGTTCGCGTCCTTGATGCGGAACCAGTTATCAGCATACCAGCCAATCAGGAACCAGACATATTTCTTCCCAAACAAACGCTCCTTATATACCTGCCACCGTTCACAAAGGAGGAAGAAAAGAGGGTTAACTCACAAAGAGGAAGCCACACTTCCCAGCAGTATGAGATCACATTAATACCGAAAGGGTTCCACTGAATACATACAGGAGGGG